TCAGAAAATGACTCATCTAATAAAAAATATAGATATATATTTAAGATTATACCTGGTTATAGATTAAATGAGCAGTATTTATCTTTCTTTTTATAGGTAAAATAATAAAAGCTGAATTATTTTATGTTAGATAAGTACTGTATTGTACTTGGAAATGTGTATCATAGAATTTCTATGTATTTGTCTGAATGTATCATACGGCTTAGATTATTTCCAACATCTAATGTGTGTTTTGTAATCAGCAAGCTTGATGAAAGTTTTCGTTCACTTAATGGATAGGTGTTGGGTAATAGTATATAAATTTTGCTAAAGATATAATTTCAACCGGCTGGAAGTACTCATTTTACCGTTACCCGATACATCGAATAAAAAACACGATTTTAGTTGAATTTAGGAATTGAAATGAAATATTCAAAGGATGTTACACTTTAGTATTCAGCACTTACTCAATAAATTAACAAAAATATGACCGAACACTAAAAGGATTAAGATAACAAGAAACATCACTTGTGGCGTCTGTTGTGTATAAAATGTGAATGGAAGTATAGTAATGCTTTTAAATAGAGCATTTTTCAACTGAAGGCAATGATACGTTTTCAATCCAGATATCATATATGTCGTTTTACAATTGTTTAATCGTATCATTAATTGACGTAAGTCGGTAGCATATATACTAGATTCCGACCAATCTTGCATAACCTTATACTTAAAGATCCTGAGTTCAGTCTAGTGTGAAGTCGTGAGTTCAAACTGGGAACAACAAAATGTCCGTTCAATCCTTGGTGACATTTATTGTTTCTGCAGTTGATATCACCTAATGATGAAACTATTGTCAAAACTAATTTGTGTTGATATTTATGAAAGGTGAGTAGCTGTTCAAGAATGAGACTCACTATTGTAAAAAGTATCCCATAAAATAACTACATGATCAAAACTCGAAGTTCAACTTGATAAAAAGTGTAAACGTCATCGAAAGTTATCTCTATAAATGTCATAATATGTAATGAACGAGCCCATCTTTCCTGACCTTCCATGAATATCATTTTAGTTACCTATAAACTCTACTCAAATCGACTCTGGGTTAATATCCCTTTCCATTCCGCTTTCAAAACACTTTATCATCCTCAGATGGACATTTCATTTCTTAATTGTCAAACGTAGTAGTAATTATTTAAAGTTTAAAATTAAAAAATTAGTATATTATGGTTTTCAAAAGAATAGTACAGAATAAAGTTAACGTATCAAATTATATAAATCCCGTCGTTATTGTATTGAAATTTGTCAAGAAAATCAATCATCTAACTATCACAAATGAATGATATTAGTCTCTGGATATCAACTAACACACAACAATTAGAAAATGCTTTCAATGAATAAATGTGTCTTTTATCAGTTATATTTTCTACCATGTATCCATTTGGACAATTGGAACAAGGAAGTTATTGTAAACTAATCAGAATTAATCTAATCAGTGTCTCATAATAAATGTCTTATTGAGTAATATTTATTTCAAAAAAAGCTACTGTATATCTATTGAAGTGTGATTTTTATTTTTATATCATTATAAAATTCACTAACTCGGAAATGTAGTGATTTAATTTTGACCTTTAGTGATTCACTTACGTAAATAATTGATTTAAATCTAAACTTAATATAACCTTGATGAATGCTTTCCAATATCTCTCTTTCTCTATCATTTAGTTTAGTTAACCTTTTATTCTGTTTTAATGAATGTTAGTAGTATAAAATAATAACCCATATTAACAATTAAATAGAAGTATGATATAGAAGTTTGTGTTATTATGAGTTCTCTTTTTGTTGTTGTTAAGATGAAATACATGTAATTTACTATGCATTATTTATGATAGCTTACAGTTTTTTTTATGATTATTCATCCAGTTGTTTTTTCAGTGGCAATATTAAAAGGTGAAAAATACTGACTTCTTACAAAATATACGATTAATTATATTCTTTTACCTGGAATAAATAATTGCACATAAACTAAATAGAGGGATAGAGAAGAAAATTACCTTTTCTACATCTAAGCAAACATAAACACAAAGATTATGTGGTTAATATGGTAGTTTAATTTTACATAACTGACTATAAAGTAAACTCTTTGAACTGAAAGTTATATGTTTGATTTTAATACAATGTTAGCGAAATAAAAACATTGTGTTACACTTTGTTTATAATCTTCAAATTATTGATAAGGTTATTAATGATAGAAATGATATTTAATTTGAAATCAGTCTTACATATAAAAAAGCAAATAAACTCACATTTTAAATGCATGGAAGCATTGTTGATAAAATGTGTTTATTTTCAGAAATTCTCGTTTACAAATAAAATGTAGTTGTTTGGAAAAAGGATTATTTACAAGTAAATTTTAAAGAGAGTTGACGTCATGAAATAGCAAAATGGTCACATGTTGATTGTCTTCGAAGATGGAATCTTTCGTCATAGTTAACTATATCGTGAATATAACTGCATGTCTTGATTGAAGTGCAGTGGTTCTGTAGCTGATATAAGCATGTGACGACAACTGTTTCAAACCATACACATATCTTCAAAAAACATTTGAATTAATAAATTAAAAAAAAACAATTATGACTTAAATTGAGGTTTGTATCTGAAATTATCCGATCCAAGTAACAGGATACTGTCTAATTAATGTAAAAATGTCGACGTAAGCTGAAAAAGTGCTGAAATGAATAAAATAACTTATCAAACATCATATAGTTGGACTAATTTCATGTTGATAAAACAGATTGATTAGCTAATGATTAGGTTAGTTTGCTGATCACAGGAGGTAATTAAACGTTATTCCATCAGTTAAATGAACTAACTGTATAAATCTAAGCATCTACGGACCTAACAAAGCAAAAACAATACTTGGATATCATGGCTAGTATATCATCATCCAGTTGTCTATCGCAATAAAAGATAAGAGTACATCGATTATTGGACGAAACTGGTCAAAGTAAATAGTTTAGTTGAAAGTATGTTCAACATATGTTATAGCAGTTAACTAGGTTCTAAAGGTATATGTGAATATGTGAAGATTGCTGACTATCTAATTTCCGATGTAGGGTATCATATATTTATAAACAATACTAGGATATAATTGCATTTTTATTCATTATTTTATTGATTCTTTTTTTTGATGTAGTAATTTGTGTCACCTTATGTTGGTTCTTTCCACTCACACTTTGTAAATTCATCATCTAAAGTGACTGATGATTCGAAGATAATAGAAGTCTAGTTTAGATAAAGGAAACGATGTTATCATACATCAATAAGTATAATCGATATCCTTAAAATAGTTCAAATATAATATTTTCTTGAATAGGCATCTTCGAAATTTATCGAGTGCAGAAAAGAGCTCAAAATAAAATTGGATTAAATAATACAATCAAGACATTTGATGACACTACATATTTGCATCATAACTCAAATCTTCTATATGTTAAGCATATGAGTGCAGATGTTTCATGTAGTAGACTGATTAACAGACAGATACAATTTATGTAATTCTAGTTCATAGGATATACATTACATTTACCAATTGGTAAGCGGAATAATGTGTTGACATTCTTTTGATGTAAATTTTTGAAAAACTGTTATTCGGTAAAATAAGAATTTGCAATAACAATAAATTGAAAGCTGGTAACATCATGTTCAAATTGATTTTTCAATCATTATAAGGTTATAAATTTCAACATAATGATATATTTCCAACTACTCAATAAACCTACTAGCAAACCTTACACTCTATTATTTTAGTCACTTAAGTTGTCGGTGAAATTAGCAGTTGATAGAAGTATATCAGTAGAATAATAGTATTGTCAGGCAGTATTGGATTAATGTTGTATTTTTCAACAATAAATAACTGTCACATTTTATAGTAACGAATCATTATCCTATTGTTTGCAAATAACACCCAGTATTTAATCGTAAAATTTCTAAAATTTCCAATGCCCAGTTTTTGTGTAAAATAACTCTTCATCTTTCATTGTTATTTTGTCTACTGAGTCATAATTATCCATGTAGAGTTCTCCAAGCTGAGAATCGTACTACAGATAGTCAGGGGATGACACTCGATCACAGATGAAGTTGTCATCATATAGCATTATCAGTCATATAGAAAGCAGTTTTCACCTACTTATCAAATGATACCTGTTTCACATTATATGTATTTATATTTATGATGGTAATTTAGTGCCAAAGGATATCTTGATTCCTACACTATCATCAAGTGGCTAATTTATAACTTATGCTATAATCGTTAGTATGTAAATGATTGTTTGGGACTCAGTAGTTATTTTATGTAATGTGCAATATATAATAGTGGGTATGTGTTTAGATGAATGACTTTCGTTGTTAATTATTTTTATACAAAGTAGTAATTAAAAGATGATATTTTCAGCGATCTGTTATTTAGATCTTATCGTGAAATGTCAAAATAGCAAAATGCTTATTTTATGAAAGTTATATTTTTAGATACCTAAATGTCCATCATGTAATGTATATTCATTTATTTTGTATGCTGTACTTGAGGCAGCGTCTGATGATTTTAATTTCTATTACCATTATAATGATCATTTCAGTCAGTTCCATAATGCATATTTCTGAATAAAATTCAGAGTGGCTTTAGAGTCAACATTACATAGTCTCAGATATATGCTGTATCTGATTTTAGAGAATTATAATGGTCAGTATTAAATCCAAGTGTAAATTTTGAAGATCTAAATTTTAGAACACATTTTCCTGTGTTCCCTTTAATCCAATCAGCAATTCATATGATTTCTAACGAAATTATTTATCATCTGTAGTTATATGATGTGAAAGGATAATTTTATGACTTACTTACTTACGTTAGTTACCCTTCATGCAAAATAGACCACCGACCAGGAATCTCCAACCTATTCTAGCCTGAGCTCTCGCTTCCAGTTGTTGCGAAGTACTATTCATTTTTGATATCTGCCTCTTTTCCTTTTGCCTTCAAGATTCCAGGTCAGGGCTTACCTCATGATGCAGTTTTGTGATTCTCGCAATGTGCATCCTATCCACCTCCAGAGTCTTTCCTTAATTTCCCCTTAAGAAAAAAGCTGATTTGTTGATTGCCACAGAAGTTTGTTGCTGATGATTCCTGGGCAATCGATCTGAAGTATCACAGCCTGGAACCCTTCTAGGATTACTGACAGTCACAAGATCAGATAAAAGAGAATAGGTCGGCAACCACATTCCACAGAAAAGAAGCTTGTTGAAAACGCTAACCAGATAATTTTATAGGTTTTATATTTCTAAATCTCTTGAATATTCTAATGCAGAGGTAATCTAGTTCCTTGGTAAACAAAAATACCAAGTATCATTGAAATATATTTAAATAAAAAACTGATTATCTCTAAGTACATGTTGCAATGAGCATGTACATTCGGTAGTTATGTTAAAATTTGACTATTTGTTCGATTGATTTATTAACACCTAGTTACGTGAATGATCATGGAAATATTTACTTATCAGACTAACTAACTATTTACCACTACATTTCAAAATTATATTCTAACTTCACGTTTGTATCAATTATGTTAATTTTATGAAAGCTAGGTATAAAAATTATCAACAAAGAAATTTAGGTAGGGTTTAGTCGCCTGACAGTAGAAATGTACTCAAGCAAAAACCAACTAGTAGACGAATATACTTTATTACTAATAAACTTAACAGTCACTTGATTCAAGGTTAAAAATAAACAATATTTTCTTTTTCATTAGTTTTCTTTACCAGTCGATTAAAACAAACTAACAATGAATTCCTACTGTTAAACTTGATATATGGTCAGAAACATTATTTGTAGGATGGATAAAATTTTCAGAGAACATCAGTATACTTTCTAATTTTGGTATTTTAATTTGATCGAAACTTTGAAGTATATTTGTCTGATATAGAGAGAGACTACTAGACCGAAGTCATGTTTAAGAAGCGAAACTGTTTAGAACGTACTTAGTTTCGTTTCTAAATGAACAAGTTACTTTATGTATGATATTATTTTAATAGTTATTGTTTAAAATGTTTTTGATATTTTGTAAGTTACTAACGTTTATCTCTAACCCTCTTATATGAGAAGATGTATCAGTTGTAAAGGTTATTCAAGCGTTGTTTGATGGATTTGTAGTTTGATGTTTAATTTGATAGTGAATCATCTGATGAGAGTTCAGCATATATATTCTTGAACTTTTAGCTATCAGAAGCACTTAACAATTAAAAAGTCAATACAATATTATCTAGAATACGCATCTCATATATTTTAATATAACAATAACATAACATACAATAATATAATGTGATGATGTGATCAAACCAACTATATGTTTTTATAATTGTAGTACATCCAATTTGAAGTAGTGCTACTTTATTTTAGCAACAAATATGACAATATTTTCTAAAATTTTAATTTATTATATGAAAACAAATACCTCATAACTTGAAAACCTCTTCAAATTTAATTTAACACGGTTGGCGTTGGATGACCTAATTCAAACGATATTTGTCAAACAACTGCTAAAATAGTTTTTGTCGAGTAACTGATAAACTGTCATGATGAAAATAGATTATAGTTACCTGGTGATGATATATTCAGAAAAGATCGGTAGTAGAAGTTGTAAGGTCACAGGTCTAATAGTTCACCCAGTAGCATACTTGGTTAGTGTTAGGGTTCAATAATCGTAACACTGTTTATTTAGGCTGATTCACTGTTTTAATTTTACAACAATAAATATTTAAAGAAACTAAATGCAGAAAACTTATAAAACTTTTATTTCACCTTTTACTTTTTTCAATCTTTTATATTTATTAAGATAGAAAACATAACAGCGAATAATTGAAAAAAATTATATTTTGATCTATTTCAGATATTATCTTCATGTCTCTGAATGCAAGAACATAGAAAATGTAATCTACGTGATGTGCTTGGTATTTACAAAATAGAGAAATGACTCTGAGAAAGATTATATTTCAGAAATGGCTTGTTAAAACAAAAAAAAACCAAATGTACAGATTTAAAGTTTAATTTCAGCTGTATTCTCTGAACTTCCAATGCACGTTTCAACTGTAGACGGTGGCAACATAATATTACTACGCTCATATGTAATCCCTGACCACCAAATTGGTAAATTCGCTTTGACCAACTGAAGCATTGAAAATTGTTTAACAATACAAAATAGTCTCACATTCGAACGAACTAATTCAAATCGAAAGCCATCATAAACTGAATAATTAATTAACGGATCACATAATCTTAATTTCCATGTTTGGAATACTTTTGTATTTGAATTAAACTCATTTTTAATTATTTTATTTCTACCTGATTGTTTCAATGTATTATTCCCACTTCTTTCTGTTGAGAATGTTTTTGCAAATTTTAAAAGGTTAGTATCATTTTTACATATTTTGTGTTTATAACTTTGATTAATATTCCTATTCCTAGGATTATTAACTTTATTATTACATTGATGATGATAGGATTGTAGGTGAAATAGTTCATTTGGTGGATTAAAGTAGATACTGAGAAATGATTCAGCTGACATATTGTATTGTAAATAAATTCTAAGTCGATTCAATATCATACCTCTGGTGTGATAAGTGTGTTGTTTAGTAAGACGTAAATATCTACTTACTGGTCCAAATAGCTTTTGAAATACATATTCACTTGATTTTTCCAACTGATTCTCTGATGAGGAATCTAAAATTTGAATAAAAGGAATTGTGAATAAAAAGATATTTCATCATTATAACAAAGGAGAAATTGTCATATATATATATATATATATATATATATATATATATAACGTATTAGTGCTACTCAGTTACTAAGTATGGGTTCATTTATTTGGTTTTCAGCCATACAAATAATATTACAGTACGGAATTTTATAATAAAGTAAGCGAAACGCAGTTCGAACAAGTGAGATGTTGGTTGAAAGTGCCAAGACACTCACCTAAGTTAAAACCAATCAAAGTATCCCAAATATTTAATGCGATATATATATATATATATATATATATATACATCGTTCAACTAAGTGACTTAACCTTTTGGTAAACTGTTTGTGTTTTATAAACGTTCGTAAAAAATTCTAGGTAATCTAAGCAATAACATTTAGTGGGCTTAGTGGACTTGCTCATTATCGAATTTTGAGTTAAATATATTATTAAGAGGCATTTAGCTATTTATATTTAACTAAAATCTAGTGTATGGAATATATCACCAGTAAGAACGTTCAAATGTGGCTTGTGTCAACTGGAACCTATGCACACCCATAGCATGTCCAACGTTAGGTTGAACGTGATTTTTGACTGCTGCTAAAATATACAGGCTTACTGCAATGAGATGCATTGTTTAGTGGGTTTTTTAGTGGTCCTGACTGTTTCTATTGATCAGATAAGTCTTAAGGATAAATGTAAAATTTCACATCAAGATTACAATATTTAAATAAAAACAGTTTACTTTTTTTATGATTAGGAGAAGTGATTTGATTAAAATAAACAAAACACTCAATCATTGAGTTAATTTATCTTACTTTAAGTTTTTAAGTCATCTTTTTGTCTCTTTGAAATTTTGTTCAACTTTTTTCAGTCAATTTATCTAATGTATTATTTACCTACATTCATTTTTGAAACAGAAGAGACTGAACATTTTCCATCGGAGTCTAATTATTTTTAAAAAGTTTCTAAAGATTGATGAACAGCTATGGGATGTGTATAATGATAAATAGTTGAATAACCTTTTTGATATAGTTTTACAACCCAAAGAAATTATTTTAACAATCACCAAACTTAACCTATAATAAAGGCCGTGGTTTACAATAGGTTAAAACTCATTAAAAGTATGCACTTTTAGTCCCAATGGAGAGGAAACGCAAAACAGCAAAGTCATCTGGTGATTTCGTTAATTTTCTCCGATTATCTTCAGAGATAGCGAAATGGACGTCCATTGTCGATATATGATATTCATCACATTTTGTGCATGAATCAGAGAGCGGGAATACAAACTCTCATGTTTTGATTTAGCAATTCAGTTGTATCGTAGAAATCTTTACCTTATATTGTTTGATTTTAGCATGAATGAAATATAGAGACAAAAAATCCATTAACTGGGAATTTAATAATCATGTAAACTTTTTAAGCTAAATTAATTTAAGTGATTAAAATCATTGCCAAAAAGCAATTTCCTTCCAATTAATAAATTGATTCAGTTCACTATTCTTAGTTTCCCAATTTATATCATTCACTGTGAAATTAGTATTTGGCATTGATGGAGAAAACTATGGTGGAAATGTAATTGACTAATGGAAACATGCTACTAGGTTCATTTACACTGAAGATGACTACTTGTTAACCGAACATACTTGAATGAACCTAATATATTTAATGGTTATCAAGTTTCAACGAAATAATGCTCACTGTAAATAGCTTCAGGATTTTTTTGCTTATACTCTTTGCTTGAAAGGACTCATTTTATTTGTGCATATATAAAGTTTATGTTAATTGTAAATAAATATAATTCGTCTAGTGTTCTTAAGTTCTCTATATTCTTATAACTAAGAATCACAATTATACTAAAATTACTTAATTAATTGTTTTACACCTATAGTTATTTCGGAAGGTGTTACAACTCTGAAGCTCTGATTGATAATTCAACTGTCCATAGAATGTCACAGTTATTTCATAATTCCATGTATTTCTATGAATAAAGTGTACGACGTATATATCTGTGTCAAATGTTGCTTTAATTAATCAATGATCTTAACACTGTTTCCACTTTTTCTAACTTGCTATTATTCTTTTCAGTGTTTCACAGTTATTGTTCAATTATTGTTATCATTACACCCATGTTTCTCGTTTCTAGTTAATATCTGTCAAAAGGAAAATTAGTTCTCCTGATTCTGAAGAATATAATGTTTTTAAGTTTTAGTTTTTTCTGTTGCATTTGGATCATTACACAAAATTATTATGATATTTGACATTATCGGACAATTTATGATGTCATTTCCATATATTTTTATCAGATTACCACGCCTACTAAATAACAATAAATACTATTTTAAACAGAGATGGATAGTGGCTAGTAGTAGAATCCAAGACGAAAGTTTCGTCCAATTTTGGACTAATCAGATCGATGTACTTGCAATATCAAGGCAATTCTTTTACGATGAACATGTATCGAAAGAGTCTGAGTACTTGCAGTACTAAACAACAATGGGAAGATCCAAACAACTTTGATGAAATGTTTTTTATTTATTCTTTAGTTGGACAATGATTGTCACTGATTTAATTGTTCTATTTTGGTTTGTTTGCATATAATTAAAATCCCATATATTCCCATTAATTGAAGCATAGATCATTGGTGTAAACATTTCTAATTTGAGAGTAGTTAAAGCTTACATTACATAAAAAGCTACATTTTTGTCATAATACAATCTGTAAAACCAAATCAAAAACAGATAAGACATTAAGTTTAGTTTCCTACTAGTAAATATTGATCATTCAAACACATTTTTTTTACCTCTCAAAATCATTCGTAAAAACTACTTTGTCCTAGTTAAACTTCAACTGAATATATAGATTGTAATCAGAGAGATCAGAATGGAACTTTGAAGAATTTTACTTCACATTGTCTTTACACTTGAAGTATGAACACATATTTCATTACAATGTTCTAAGTGTAAACATCTTGAATAATGATGTGATTGCATGTAGAAATCGTTATTTTAAACCTCCAAATAATCCATCTACAGCTAATTAATAAAACTTTCAGTTTGAGGTGAAATAAAAACTATCTCGATGCTTAAATTTATTTTTGTATTAGTTGTTTGTATCTTCCCACTGATGTCTACAACTGAAATAGTTCAGTCTCTTATTGGCATATGTCCATCTTGTGCGGATTGTTTCGATATTGCTTTAAATCAAATCATTATAAGCAGAGTGACTTTTTGGACTCAATAGCTAAGTCGATAACGCGATGGCATTTGATGAGAACGTCACTGAATTCGAGCCCTAGAGTGAACATCAACTCTGGGATGCAGGTACATCCATCTGATGTATCCCAAATAGGACAAAACGCGCGTCCTGGATTCCATTGCTAGCCACTATCCATCTCTACTTATCTGTATGTTTGTCGATTAATAGCAGTTATTACCAAAAGCATCATTTTCCACTAAAACACAAATACATTATAATAAATTATAATATTATTTTAAAGATGAAACTTACCAACAGCATTCGCTGCAAAATCTGATTTGGTATACACAGAACTGAATAAATTATTAATCAATGCAGTTAGTCTTATCTGACATTTTCGTTTATACTTTAGGTAACTAATTTCACTTTTTAGTCTTTTAGCAGCCTGAACATTTAATTCATAAATATCAGGCATTTTAAAAAAGTCAAATGTTTCACAAGATTTTCGTGGATTTTCCTCTGCATCATCAGCGTTTGATTCAGCATCATTCAAATCTGTTTTACTAATGGAATTATCTGTAAGACCAGGAATAGCAGTAGCAGAAACAGTACTATTTCTGTTATGTCGAAAACGTAACGGATTATTATTATGTAGTGCTTTAATAAATTGTGTAGGATAACAGTAAGTTTTAGCTTGTGTAGAACTTGTTGGTTTCGGTTTGAGTATTTTCATTTCTTCATAATCACTTTTTGCCATATTTCGTAATTTGTTACAATTACTAGTACTGTTAATTGTATTTCGAATACAGTCAGAATATGTGGATTGATTATATCTGGAATTTCGTTTCTGACGTACAATTAGTGGATCATAAGGCTGCAAGGCAATAAATTAAAATATCCAGATTCAATATATGAGTGACAAATTTTTATTAACAAATATTTCGATTTATCTGAAACAAGTTTAACATGATGGTTGGGTGAAATTGTCGCAAAACCTAGAAAATACGTTTAGCAAACGTTGATGCATCTCAACGGAAGGTATCACTAGTTTTGAATAAATGATAGTACTTCTAGGTTTAAATTAGAGGGAATCAATACTGGGTTCAGATATATTGTTAAAAAGCTAGTCAAGAAGTGAGTGACTCAGTACTACAAAAACAATCACTATCTGGTCTCTGAGGCTGACTAAAACTTCATAAATTACTAATATCAACAAAAATAATTAACAAGTTACTGAATCTTATGACTAAGTAATCAGAATTCAAGCCACCAATGGGGCTTGTTGTTTGACACTGAGTACTAGGTCACATCATACATGATACAGACCTAAAACGAGTGCCTTAAATAAAAGATATTCCTTTTATTTACAATTATGTATGACTACTTGCTAACTAAAACGGTATCCATTTTTGGATATAAAATAAGTCTTGCTAATAAAAAGCTATAATGCGTTTTATGAAACAATTACAGATGTAGTTTAAAACCTACCCGGAAATCTGGGGTATAAGGAGGACGTACTCACTGAGTTAACTATTCAATTCGAAGCTTAGTATAGTCAGTCAGTCAGTCAGTCAGCTGCAACGTAGGACCAGGCACATATATGCATCGGTCCAAGTTGCCATACCGCATTAGCACAACAAGATGAACACCGGATTCATAGGAGTAGTTAATTCAGTGGTGGTAATATATAGAAGAAAGATTGTGTATAAGGAGATAGTAAAGGAAGAAAGAATTAGTTCCTAGACAGATATGAAGCGATTTTTATCTCTTAATTTAAGGAAGACAGAGAGTGTATACACCGACGCTATTGTGATCGATTCTGAGCCATGTCACCAAGAGTCTCCAACCATTGGTTACGATAGTCACGCGGACCCCAACCAGGCAGTCTGAATCTACCAACATGACTCAGACCAGAAGTTAGTGACTTCAAGCACTGATGCCACGTTTTGGTTTGGCCGCCCCTAACTTTCTTCCAATTATCCCCTGCACTAGTCAGCATTGCGCGTCGTGGTAATCGGTGTTCAGGCATACGCAGCACGTCGCCCAACCATCTCAGTCGATGAAGATTCATAAAATCATCAACTGATTTACCATCATTCCCTAATACCCTGCGTCTAATCTCACTATTACTTACCCGGTGATCCCAGCAGATACCCGCAATATTTCTAAGGCACCTGTGGTCAAATACTAGTAACTTACGAATATCTTCTACTCTTAAAGGCCATGTTTCGCAGCCGTATAGTAGAACGGAACGAACTGCCGCGCAGTATACTCGTCCCTTAATTGATAGAAGAATATCTCGCCTTCGCCATAGATGACGTAAGTTGGCAAAGGCCAAGCGAGCTTTTCGAATCCGTGCTGAGATTTCGTCAGACACCAACCCATTAGGGTTGATCAGACTTCCAAGATAAGTGAAGTTGTCGACGCGTTCGACTACTTCACTCCCTATCCTTAGTTCAGGTGTTGACGCAGACCAGTCCTGAAGCAACAACCTACATTTAGAGGGAGAAAAGCGCATCCCAAACATTCGGGCATTGTTGCTCAATGCTACCAAAAGACTCTGCATTTCATCAGCGTCTTCACCAAACAGGACTATGTCATCTGCGTATTCCAAGTCAATAAGTGGACCTCCTGGTAGGAGATCAATACCCGAGAATTCAGTCGATGAGAGCGTTATTTCCATCAGGATGTCTATGATAAAGTTAAACAAAAAAGGAGAAAGTGGACAGCCTTGACGGACGCCACTTGAGGTTGCAAAAGCAGATGACAGTTCGCCATAAGCTCTGACTCGACTAGTAGTGTTCGAGTAAAGAGCCTTCACAAGGTTTATGTACTTCTGAGGTACGCCTTTCAATGACAGACACTGCCACAGAACCTCTCGGTCAACAGAGTCAAACGCTGCTTTTAAGTCAAGGAATACCACCATTGTCGGACGCCGATAAGTATGCCTGTGTTCTAGAACCTGACGAATGGTGAATATGTGGTCGATGCAGCCACGACCAGGTCTGAAGCCAGCCTGATTTTCACGTGTTTGCAGCTCACGAGTTTTAGTTAGGCGTCCGAAAATTATCGGAGCTAGTATTTTAGATACTATATTAGTCAAACTAATCCCTCTGTGGTTGTCACAGGATGATTTTGACCCTTTCTTAAATATTGGGACGATAAGTGATTGTGACCAGTTAGATGGAATAACGTCTAACTCCCAGATTTTAGCTAAAATATTAGTCAACCTAATCGCTAAGACTAGACCACCATCCTTAAAGACCTCTGGGGCCAATCCATCTGGACCAGCTGCCCTTCCTCGTTTCAGATTAGCTATAGCCTTTTGAACTTCAGCTAGAGTTGGGGGACCTACTTCAATGTTCCATTCATACTGTCTGGGAATAGAGGGTAGTTGTAGAGTAGTTGAAGGCCAGCTAAACTGCTCCTTAAAGTGTTCCGCCCATCGTTCTAAGCGTCTGGACTGAGAGCAGATGAGAGTGTCGTCTTTTTCCGAAATGGTCTGACTTACACTTGATTTATTAATTCCAGTTTCTTTTATTAGTCTGTAGAGTTGTCTTGTATTCCCTATAGCCACCGCCTTTTCCATCTCTTTTGCTTTCGTTGCCCACCACTGCTCACGATCATTCTTTAGACTTTTGCTTAATCTAGATCTGATTTCTTTACGCTCTTCATCGTATTCAGAACCTGATGGGATGAGTTTGCGAGAATCTATCAGTGCAATAGACCTTGACGAAATCCATTGGTTCTTTGTAACCCTGTGGTTTAACTCACTGGTAGATGTCAATGCTGTTTCCACAGCTGCTTGTATAACTTTCCAAGCAACATCTGGGTCAGTCTCGTTTTCAGAACTACCTAGGTGTGACCTCAGTTGTTCCTGGAACCTACTTTTGGCTTTCTCATTACTCAATTCGGTTCTAATGAGTCTTTTTTGTGTGGCTCTTTTGCGTCCAGTGAGGCGCAAGCAGATGCGTGCTCGTACTAGGGCATGATCAGAGTCCAAGCAGGTACCCCAGAATGAGGAAAAGAAACGGTCATATTACACTAGATGTAAGGAAATAAAACACTTATGGTGTGGTAATATAATTCAGACTTGGCTTAATTCTTCCAAAACTATAGTTCACAAAATAATAAAGCAGAAATATTAATTTGTAATCCACTACTTAAGGAGAAAGTAAATAACAAAAATATTTGTGGATCATATTTAATAATGATAAGCGAGAATTGGCTTAACTGCCTAATCTCACAGTCGAATGACTGGAGCTATTAATTAAAGTAATCTAGATGCTATTTAACTGATGAAGCATAACATCTATAAAATATGAAACTTTGTGATAAAAACTAGAGTTCTTTATTTTTTCTAAATATTTTTTGGAAACAAAATATGCAGTCATTTGGCTAGGGAGTAATTGTTTTCCTAGAATTATAGTTGAAAGAGATGACTACTTCGTTATCTGTATTTCTGTAATTAAGAAGTTCAGTCAGTAAAGCTGCTTTTTAATTGGTTCAAAAGTTGAACAAAATAGTGACAAAAGGCTTCTAACTTTGAGATAATAAATATGACGTCTGAAATCTAGCACATACTTACTATCAGGTGACTCGTGAAATTAAATTTAATAGCATGGTATTTCGTAATTATTACTTTTCTGACCAGTTTCGTATCATTATTTTAATAAATCACTGTTTATAAAATTAAAATATTGAAGACTACTGAAGGTACTCAGTTTAAAGCTTCCAAATTAAATCTCGTGTACACTTATTTTAGTTTAAAGTTTTTCTCTTATATATTTGAAAAAATGCATACTTAATATCAATCAGAAGTTACACTCATTTTCATTTAGTTGCTAAACAGTAGTGAATCGAGTCCTCACTACGTAAATGTTATATATGTAGATAAAGAAGTTGAAACTCGATTTCGAAATTTCGCTAAAACCGCTTTTCAATCTAACCAATGAATGTCGGTCTTTACAATTAATTTTATACAAGCCCATAAGTGTTATGATTAATACAAATGCGTTCTATTTTTTTATTAGTTTTAACAACTCATATGTAACAGTTAACATTTTCACAAATTAAAATTATAAATTTGCCTGACTAATCAGAAATTTTAAGGCCCCAAAAATACTTGTTTTAAATTAGAAAAACCAAATTTTTTATGTGAATTAGGAAAAATGTAGTTAATGAAATCTTCACATAACATGTATAAATTGATTACTTTTGCAACGTAATTGCACGAAATTAAAAAAGAATTGTCTAAATATATATTTGAACATATTAACAAAAGGTTCATAAGTAACTATATAAGATATTGAAATAATCAACGACTAAATTGAAATATTATATGTAAATAATATAACTAAAAATTTAGATTTGTAAGATGATATCCTACTATTATTTAAGGTGTTTGAAATGAAGTGTCTGTCTGGTTATTTTACTCAGAGCAAAATCTAGTGTGGTGCGGGTTACTTATATCCACACAAGTAGTATATAACGGTGGTCAGGCATAGAATGCATTTCAGTAGAAGGTCGATGAGGAAAGAAAAGGAACGGAACGCAATCAGTATGAAAATGCTTGAACAGTAAAATCTGAGACAATGGATTGGTGTTTGCAACGGCAACAGTCAAGTATGATATGATAGATTATTATTTTGCAAATTAACGATTTACTATATGGTTCCCATATTTGATTGAGATGCTCTGTCATTTCGTGTCAAATACATTCGACCATCCCTACTGGTGTTCTGTTTATTACACTAGAACTGTAACAATTTAACCTAAAAGTTTATGGTATACAATCAAATTAATTATTATATTTAAATTGAAATAATTTCCTTAAATTTAATCAACCATGCAGTGACTCAAAGTATATATTTG